AAGGTATCCAGGGTTAGAAAGAAACAAGAGTAAATGAAGTAAAGCAGCACTACAGTTGAAAAACAAATTCCTACACAGGGTATGTCAATGGCAGCTCTAGCATTTATTGCCCATTCCTAAATACCCTTAAGAAGATGGTAGCGAGCTGCTGCCTCTACTTACTACATTGCTCCCGCAGTAAAGTTAAGGAGGCAGCTCCAGAATTTTGACTCAGCAACAATGAAGAAGCAACAATCTATTTTTAAGTCAAGATGGTATCTAACTTTGAGTGAACTTGAAGGTATTGTTCCTGTCTGCTCATTTGTCTTATTCTTCCAGATGGTAAGTATTGCATATTTGGGATGACCTGTGAGAAGTTAATGTAGCGTGTCCTGTGGATGGTATATGCAGTAGCCAGGGTGTTGGTGTGAGTATGTAGAGTGGTAGATGGGCTGCTAATTATACAGGCTGCTTTTGGTCTGGCAGATGCTGAGCTTCTTGTTGGAGTTGCTCTCATTTAGAAGAGTTCTATTCCATTCCAAATGTGTGTCTTATAGGTGGTGGAAATGACTTGGGGAAGTTGGGAAGTGAATTACTTGCAACAGAATACTGTTACAATGGTGATGTTCATATGATTGCATTTTAGGACTGTATCTTTCAATCCGTAAGAGATTTATACTTTGGGAATGTACTTTTAAATTTGGAGTAAATGACAGGGTTATGTGTGTCTGAGCTGAAGCGTACCTGACTGTAAAAGCTGGCTGGAAATTAATGAGGATCAAATAGAAGATGCATGTTGCATAAATGAAAGGGAATGTTAAGTATATTTACATTTAAAGGCAATTACAGCTGTGGTTATGTTCACAACTGAAAGATTTTAAGTCTCCTGAAAGCCATCGAAACATTACAAGAATGCTGTTCTGCAACCTAGCGTTTTGTTCCTAAGATGAAAGGCTGTTGCAGTCAGTGATATTTAATTAACATTTCTATTTGGAGACAGGGGTAAAGTATTGCCCATTGCCATGAATGAGTGGATGGGGGAAACTTTTTCAGGATCAAGTTCCATAGATATAGGACCATCAGACAAGACACATCAGCACCCTTAGTCCTGTATAGCTTGGAGTGCACTGAGAGCTGAGGGAACAAGAAATAAATGTTAACCAGGTCTGCATTTTAAACAGAAAAAAAATGCTAACGTTATTGTTCACTGCTTAGAATTGGGTGCAGCTCAAGATAGAGGGGAACAAAAGCAGGAAGGCAGAGATAAAGGAGGAAACCTACTATAACCTTCATATGAAAGGCAGTTAGCCTGGGAGTAGACTGGGAAAAAGCAGTCTGTGTCTGACCAAAACCAGGACAAGTAATAGAGAGACCCTTAGGAATTGTTTACATCACTAAGCCAGAAGGCAGTGAGGCTTCTACATGAGCTGGACTGTCCAAAGTTGTGAGGTGTTAAAAGTTAGCTAGTGTTGTCTTGCTGAATGCTAGTGGAAGGATCCCAAGAAATTTCATACTTTAGAGACCATGTGGAAAACTGAGGAGAAACCAAAGTGAATTCCTGAGAGCAGTAGCATGCTTTAGGTTACTCTCAGAAAAAATGATTGACCCAACAAGATATTCTTGTAAAGTATAAGGGAACTCTTGGGTGGAACTTAAAGTAGAATGACATTGATAGCATTAGCAGTTAAAAATTGTATTGTTAAAATGATTTTAAAAAAGAATACAGTAAAATTTGTTTCTGTATAAAAGTGCAAAATATTGTGGCATTGTTCTTGCAGTTAAATACAGGGTGGTCCAATTTCTGTTTAATTATCAATAGATTTAAGGGTATCATAACAAACTCAGTCTTTGACCTTTTGTGGTAGCCAGGCTTATGCGGTTGTTTCAGTTAAATGTTTGGCTGGTGATGCCTTTGGGGTTTCTCATGGTTGGGGATTAGATGCTGGTAATGTTTCTGTATGTCAAAGGGAGATGGTTAGAGTGTCTCCTGTGCTGGGGGTCAAAGGAGAGCAGCGTCAACTTTGAGCCAGTGTGTTGCAGGTTCAAGGTTCATCCCATGGACTGGTTTACAGGAGTCTTGGACCTGGTCTGCCAGCTGAAAAGTTGAGGGTGTGCCCTCCCAGGTAAACAAATGGCTGCCCTTCAGCCATTTAGTGGCCAATTGGGCATTAGTAGATTGGAAGTGGGATTGGCACTCCTCAGGGTCAGGAAGTCCTACTTTGAGAAGGTGCTGGTCGGTTGAGTGGCTGGCAGCTCTGTAGTCCTATGTGTACCCATGTGCACCAGGCAGTAATGATGATCACTGCTGGCACTACTGGAGCTGGAGCTGAACACTGAGTGGGGTGAATTTCACCGGGGTGAGGTTGGCGGGACCTGTGAGCAGGGTGACAAGCGAGCTCAAAAGGCCATGGGTTGGCTAAATGTGTAAATGGAGTGGGGGTATGGAGAAAGTGGGGGGTGTAGGTCAATGAGGGAGTTGTGAAATTGGGGATTTACTCTAATTGGCACAGCGGACCCCCATATATTCCCCATGCCTTGCCTGATACCAGCTAAAGGTCCTGGGCTTCCCCCTCGTTATGGGTCTCCCCTGCCACAGGTATAAAACGACACTGGAGATTATTAACTGGCCACTTCAGAGCCTCAATAAACCCAAAGTGGCAAGCCATTTGACATTTCCACTGCCCCCAGTAAATAATTCACGTAAGTCAAGGCTGGGCGGGTAGGCAGTAGGAAGGTCACATGCTGGATTTTACAAACACCCAGCCTGCCATACCTTCAAACCCGCCAGTGAGAACTCTAAGCTCCAGCCCCATAGACCTGAGCAGAAAAATCAAAACTATTGAGTAGTACTGAAGAAGGCTGAAACTGACCTTGGCAGCGGGAATGTTACTTGTCATCTATAAAACCAAGCCTGACTGTTATCCAGATCTCGCTGTATTCAGGTGTGGATTGCTTCATTGTGGTCAAATGCTGTCTTGATGTCAAAGGCAGTTTTCTCACGTCCCTGAGCAATCTAAAAACCAGGTATTCTGTAAAACCAATGTGGGGACAAATACTAATACTGGACATTTTTTTTCTACATTGTAAGCATTATTTGAAAGCTAGTTCTTGCTGCTTACTCTGCTTGTGTTGTATGTTTTGTTAGGTTTCACCTTCAGAAATTAGACACGTCTTTGCTAGCTGAGAGGTTCAATACTATGTTTGAGGGTAGATAGGAAAAGTAGGATAATTTTTTTTATTCACTCACAGGATGTGGGCATCTCTGGCTAGGCCAATATTTAATTGCCCATTACTAATTGCTCAGAGGACAGTTAAGAGTCAACCACATTGCTGCTGTGGGTCTGGAGTCACATGTAGGCCTGGAGTCACATGTAGGCCAGTCCAGGTAAGGACGGCAGATTTCTTTCCCTAAAGGACATTCATGAACCAGATGGTTGTTTTATTTTCCTGACAATTGACAATGGATTCATGGTTAGCATGAGACCCTTAATCCCAGATTCTTTATTGAATTCAAATTCCACCATCTGCAAAAGCAGGATTTGAACCCAGGTCCCCAAATTGTTGGTTGAGTTTCTGGATTAATAGTCTAGCAATAATACCACTAGGCTATTGCCATCCCTAGTGGTCTCAAGTGTAGCTGAACAGTAACTTAAGATATAGCTTCTCATCTTTGGCCTGTTAAGGCCAGTTTTGTGATCCCAGCGAAACCTGAGCCTGGGTGTTACTTGCTGTCTATTGCCAGAAGGATGACTGTGATGAGATGGTTGTCTCCGTGTTTATGAGGTTAGTTTAGTTGAATAATTAGTAAATGCTTTCAGCACAGTTTTGGCCTTATGCTGGAAACAGACTGAAAAGAGCTAGCAGACCTGAAAAACACATGCCCTTAAGGTCAGAGGCAAAATCAAAATGCCAGCCAAGGTAAAGCAAAAGCAGACATAGATTGGATGCAGGAAATGGATTCTATGGAACGAGATGTTGTGGCAATGAATATTTAACAAGATATCCGTGTTCCTGTAGCAGGTAGGTGCAAGCAGGTTTGTATTGCTTGTCATTTCAGGGCACCATCTGCAATGATCTAACCTAACTTAGTCTGACAGAGGTGCAGTCAGTTTCAACAGCATGTTCAGTATTTAAACTTTCTTAGGAAGCCTGGTATCGGGGGGGTGTTCTGTTGAGTTGTTGACTCCTTTGCACAGGAGAAGTAATGTCATATTGAGGTTCACCTCTTCTTATGTTGGAACTTCAGCTGAAAATCATGGTTTATGCCATTTCCCAGTGCTACCAATTTGCTGCCTGTTTCCTGAACTAAGATTCAAATCCATTTTCCAGGTAGACCCTGCGTTCCAGTCTCTGCCGGAATGTTTCTTTGCCGGCTTGGTGGGATTTGGTGATTGTAGTATTACCACTAATTGCCTGTGTCTGATGTGCTCAGATAGCCCCTGCTGCTGTTTTACATACCTTTTTCCTTGTTGAATAAAACAATTAATTACTGTGGCATTTTTTGGCCAAATAGCTTTAAAGATCCCCTGAACTGCCTGTAGCAACATTGGACACAATCACACACGACTTCTGGTTGTCAGACCAATCTGCTATCACTGTGGTTAGCACTGCTTCCTCATAGCACCAGGAACCCAGGTTCGATTCCACCCTCGGGCAACTGTGTGGAGTTTGCACATTCTCTCCATGTCCATATGGTTTCCTTCCACAGTCCAAAGATGTGCAGGTTGGGTGGATTGGCCATGATAAATCGCCCAAAGCATCCAGGGATGTGCAAGCCATGTGGATTAGCCATGGGAAATGCAGGGTTACAGGAATAGTGTAGGTCTGGGTGGGATGTTCTTTGGAGGGACAGTTTGGACTCAAAGGGGTAAATAGCCTGCTTCCACACAGTAGGAATTCTATGAAAAAGTGGGAGTTTTGGAGAAAGTGTCTGGCTGTAGGCTTGGCAAATGAGGCTCCTTTATCCTACTTCATGCATTAAAGGATTGTCAAGTGATTTTGTATCAGTCATTGGCTCTACCTGAGTTTTGTAAAGGCTTAATACCACTGTGACCATCATACAGCTTCTGAGCAATGGCGTTACAAAATGACAGAGTCTCCAGCAAGAGAAAGCTCCCTTGAAGTGACTGGAAGGGACTATTTGGCCAAGTATATGAATCCTGGGGGTGAAGACAGGCATTTGCATAATGTTTGAGGTACGGTAACACTTGCCTTAGGTTCTCTCAAGAAATGTTCTTCAGCCTCCGAATCCAGGCCAGCAATTGGAATATCCCTAACCTCCACCTCACTAGCTCAAAGAATTTCCTATCCTGCCCATTTGGGTTTCTGAAACATAACAGCAGCTGTAAGACAGACCGCTGAAATAAACTGAGTTGAAAATAAATACGTTGGAATTAAAGCAAAATCAGCATGATCACTGCCACAGAACACAGTCAAAAAAACATAACCATAATAAAAAAAGTGATCTTTGTTGTAAAATTGCTGCATCCTGTTGCATAAAAACACTGAATGACTTCAAAAGGAATGGATCTGAAATGCTTTGGGATACCTTGAGGATGTGAAGTGCCTTGTGTAAGTCCAAACTTAAATTTCACTATAGATAGATGTTGTATAAAAGTAACTTTTTCTATTTCCTTTGTGTCCCTGTAGCTGCAGATTAGATATCTCCTCCTGACTATCTTCGCTGCTTGTATTGGTGGCACCTTCCAATATGGGTTTAACCTGACAATCATCAATGCACCAACGATTGTGAGTCCCGAGCAATGGTCAAATTGAAAAGGTCAGATGCGTCCATATTTATCAAGAGACAATTAAAACTAAATTTATATTTTCTTTTTATCATCAAAATGACAGTTCATTCAAAAGTTTATCAATGAGACGTGGATTGAACGCTATGGCACGCAACTGGAGAAGCAGGTCATCACACTGTTCTGGACCTTTATTGTGACGGGTTATTCTGTTGGAGGATTGGTCGGGGCACTTATTGCGGGGCCCATGGCAGTAAGGTTTGGAAGGTACGAGCTATACCAAGGAAACTCAAGCCAATATTGGCTATAATGCCAAGAAGCGTAACAGAATTTACATAAATCACGGTTAATAAAAGCTGAACAGGTCTGTCTAAAATTAGAGACAATCGTTGAAAGTCTGGTTTTCAACTCTCACACGTTAATTCCCATTCATCTGAGGTGATGAAAATTGCTTCTGAGTCAAGTTAGCTGCACTGTTAAATGATTTGCAGGTCTCTGAAATACCCTCCTCTCCCATCATCCACCCTCTCCAACAAAAATGTTTAGTGTGCGGATGAGACTTCCAGAATCAGGGTGCTTAAATATCTGCATTGAGAACGCTAACATATTAACCATTTTATAGGAATTGTGGATAGTCAAGGAAAAATATAGCTCTTTTGATCTGACTGGGAAAATTCTCATGAAAAAGTTTGAGGGAGGAAATTACAACGGCTGCAAACCAGCACATTTTATCGGCAAACTTTCCTTATTGTGTTTTCTTCCAGGAGAAATTCCCTTTTGCTCAGCAACATTTTCGTATTCATTGGTGCTTTGCTGATGGTTCTTAGCAGAACAGCAACATGCTTTGAGTTGATCATAGCCGGGAGGTTCTTTTCTGGAGTAAACTCAGGTAACGGTTTTAATAAATTCGGGTGTAGAAATTGGCCTTTAGGAGGAGCAACGAAATGGAGGGTACAGAATTGGCTGTTGTGTATACTCCTGCCTGAAATACCTGCTGCTCAAGTACACTCGACCAGATATACACTATGCCCAATATAAAACACCAATATATTCCCTTCCTGATATACACCCCA